AGATCTAATTGCAGCTGACCAGTACCTGAAGAGCAGCTACAGGAAAGATGGTGAGGGACTGTTTATCAGGGAGTGTAGGGACAGGACAAGGAGTAATGGGTTTAAGCTGAAGGAGGGTTGATTTAGGTTAGATGTTAGGAAGAAATTCTTTACTGTGAGAGTGGTGAGGTACTGGAACAGGTTGCCCAGAGAGGTTGTGGATGCCCCATCCCTGGAAGTGTTCAAGGCCAGGGTGGATGGGGCTTTGGGCAACGTGGTCTAGTGGAGGGTGTCCCTGCCCACAGCAGGGGGGTTGGAACGAGATGATCTTTAAGGTCCCTTCCAACCCAAACCATTCTATGATTCTATATTTGTGTGTAATTGAGAAGGTTCCTGCATCAATGAGAAGTGCTTTGTTAGAGGGACTGTAGTACATATAATTTAATAACCATTAAGAGAAATTTTGGAAAATGGAAATCCATTATTTCCAGAAAACACCACAAACAAACAAACTTGATGTGAACTCTTGGTATATTCTGATCAAACTAGCATGAAAAAAAAAATTAGCCTCTGAAGCCTTAATATGCAACCTCAAAGATACTGCTCTGATCAAAACATGAAGGCCCTTCACTGGAACACAGATTACTGCCAGGTGACCTGGAATGCTGCTTCACTACACTGTTACTGTTGAGAGTTGACCACTTGTAATAATTCAGCATGCATTTTGTTATTTTTTTTTTGTTTGTTTTTGTTTTAAAAGAAGAATGTGTAAAACCAGTAACTTACTGAACCACAATCCATCAGAAAAGCTCCTTCTCTTGTCAACTTCTCTGCAGACAGCTTCTGAAGAGGTGGCTGAGGAACAACTCTGTCATTTACATGTATTGTACTCTGTAACAAAAAACCAATACGCAATAACACTAGAATATAAATAAATCCTATTTATCTTAACCAGGTAAAATAAAACAGGAAAAAACACTGTTGATCTCCAGCAAAATTAAGGATTCTCATGTAACAAAAATGCCCTGTTAAGCCTAGAATGATTATGTACATCAAACAATTCTAAAATGTTACTTAATCTAAACGCTACTTTGTTACCTACAAACAAATAATACAAGTTGTGTGTGTAATATTTCTCATGCTACAGATGCCAAACTTTCAAAAGGATTCTGGTGTTTACACTTAAAATCTTCTACAAACAATTTCCATATTTTTTTTCATTGCATTCAACTTCACTAGGAAAGTTGCAAGCGCAGAAAAACATAGAATTCTACTCCTTATAAGGGTTCACTGTTTTACTGCATTCAAATAAAAGTTTTTTGATTTAACATCCTGCCCGAAGCGATACATGGGTTTGTCCACAGAGCACTATGACTGATCTGATTAAACAATATGGCTATTAGCAATGACATTATTAAAAAATAACCCCTCCTTCTTCCCCAGCAATAAAACCAGACACAATAAAACCCCTCAAGCCCCAGTATCTCCGGATTAAAGCTGCTTCCCCCTCCGATACAAAAATAGGCTGAATATCTATTAATACCTGCGAAGCATTCTCAAATAATGTAGGGAAGTCTAGAGGCTAAGCACATCTCCACATGGTAAAAGATTATTAAAAAACAGTCACTATATAAAGAATTCCACATTATAATGCAATAGATTAGAAGCTTTTTCAGATTTATGCACAATGATGAAAATCAAGCCACTGAATTCCACTTGGGAAAGTTCCAGGCTCAGTTAATGCTCTCAAGAATTAAGTGTTAAGAGAAAAGAAAATGAGCAAAAAACATTTTTTAAAAAAATCTGTAATATATATCATAGAATTTTCTAAAGAAACAAATTTAAAAACTACCTCTGTCACAAATACGTTAAACTGAAGTAGTACTAAATAGCAGATTAGCACTCTGTTATATGATTTAAAGTGTGGTTTGTCAATTTCAGTAGGTCAAATAAGCCCTATTTTCTGTTATTATTCTTCTAGAAATAACTGATCTGCAATCCTTTGCCAATAAAACTGGATCTCCCAAAACGACTCCTGGTTCTTTAGAGCACTCGCACACTGAATATACTGTTTCAACATAAGTTCCACAAAAAACTTAACAAGGTTAGTTGAAAAAGTTGGCTTATTAAATAGTGGGGGGGTGTGTGTATAATAAAAAATTAACTAATCAATCCCACTGAAGAACACTGAGTTTAGACTCGCATATGTGAGTCTATGAAATACCTTAAAAGAAACATTGAGACTATAAATAGCTCAGAGTTTGTGCTGAACAATACCAACTGCCAGAGAAACTACTTAAGTTACCATATAATCTTGTATGACACAAACTCCTACATATGCTTTCCCAAAGCTAGTGAGTAACAAGCTCATGAAAACTTACTTAAAAAACAACTTATTTTTGCAATTAGAACTAACTTTGACCTTAAATAAAATCCCATCTTTCTTACTCTTAAAAAATGCATCCAGTTCCTAGGCTACCTCTGTAAAAGGCAAACTAATAAAACCTGGTTTTGTACATCAAGTACTTCCTCAGTCTGATTGTGACCATCTAGAAGTAAAATTCTGTTTCATTCACATCAGTCTGAGAAACCACTGGAAGTCTGTTATTGCAGGCAACTTCATCTGGTTTCAGTATACAAAACCTAGAATCCTCCACCAAATCTACTTCATCCACTTCCCCCAGATACTTCTAACACGCAAAACACCATGAGATGTTTCCAGTGCATACAATCTTCTCTGCTTTCTTTGTATAATACAAAAACATAGAATTATTGTGGTCACTGAAACAAGGTGAAGTAAAACCACAGTTCTGCTCATAATACACTACTGTACTTGCAACCCAAAACTTGAAATGTTTTTCTTGATTTTTTAATAACTTACGGAAAAAGCTCAGTTTACATTACAGTAAACAATTTCAATTACATTATCGCAGCACAACATCAGGTTGAACAGATCATTAAAACCATGAAGTGTTCTAAAACAGGCTTCATGCATTACCTCATCAATCAACTTGTCTATTCTGTACAAGTTGGGATGTATCATTTTCATCAAATGAACAAGAGGCTGGCTCTTCATCTGGCACATTGCATATACGCGATCATCCAAGCGTGTACTCATGCCTGTTCTAAATGCTTTCTGTAAGAGAACAGTGGTGTTACTCAAATAAATCCTGCATTTTGTGTCACATCTAAACAGTGTATTTCAGATTTTTTTTAAAGTGTCAAGCAAAGATAGCAAAGCTCTTGTAAAGTAATGTATCTGCAAATACAACTTGGAATACAACACCTTTTAAAACTTAATCTGTTCTCCCTCCTTATTGATGAAGGAGAATAAAAAAAAGTCCCCCCACTTTGTGTAAAATTTCTGTGTGATTGGACTAGTGTTTTTCCTTTTTATCCTTGACAAATATTACTGGCCTATGAAACTCATGATGCAAAATATCACAGGAAGATATGAGCCTAATGGAGTTTGGAAAAGATACTTCTGTGGATAAGATTAACTCTGATTTTATATTAGTAAGAAATAACTGTTAAGGAAAAGCTTTGGAAGGGAAATATACTTTCATGTTTTAGTGCAGAAATAGGGTCTCCTAGGATAAAATTTATTTTGTAACTCTCTTTCCTACTGAATTTTTCACATCTCCTTTAGAAGCCATCAGTAAATGATCACTGTTAGAAGCAACACAATAGAATAAGCACCATCCTCCAATTCAGTGGAGAAAACTTCCATAACAAGAGTTCATATTCACTTCTACAACAAAGCTAAGTAAATCAAGTCCTCTTCTCCTTGGCTGCCACAAGCATTTTGGTTTCTCTGTATCCCAGGCTTTTTTATTATTGTTAACAAAGATGATAAAAAAATACCCTAAACAACTTATTTTCTCACCCACTCTTCTGTCTTTTACACAGATCCTCTTGATAATCCATGGTCTGTTTTTTCCCCACCATTAACTGCATTACTTATGCAAGCATCAACGAAGTCCTAATCAGTATATTAGAAACTGAAGCAATCACTGAGCCAAACAAAGTAAGTTATTATGATTGGATTTCTTATCAAACTTACATAAAGGTCTATTCATGATAAGAAAACAAAGAACTGTCAGACACAAAAATCTTTAAGGTATGAGATACATTGCTAACAAAACCCTGCAGTAAGGTCTCTTCTTATTTTTAAGTATGATGATTGGCAATACAAAGATATTAAAAAAAAAAAAACAAGAAAAAAGTAATTCTACGTGAACTTTAAACTATATCACTTTAGTTTCTGTAATAGATTTCATTGTATCTCCATGGAAACCCATTTTCCTTCTTGGTACTTTAAAGTAAGAAGTATATGCATTTTTGACTACTTTTTTCTTCACAAAATAAAACTGAAGTAGTACTAATAAGCAGCTTCCAACAATCTTTGTGTGCAGTACCAATTAGCCGCCAAAATCTGAGAAATGCGAAATGTTACAATATATTTGTTTTTATTTTCATCATAAAATAAGACAAAATAGAAAAAATTCACAATCCAGAAAACCAATAAACTGTTCAGGCACTAATCATTTAAAATGAAGCTAACATAATAATCTTTTATGTGAAAGTCCTGTAAGCTGGAAGAGAATAACCTAATTTTCATTATTTTAGAAAAGTGCAGACTTTGCTTGACCTAGAGCTGAAGAATTCCTCACATGGAACAACGAATTGAATATCAAACATTAATCCACTAGATTATACATACCTGTTTGAGAAGGGCCAAAATATACAGTGGAAACAGCTTGAGGGAATTTGGTGCCATCAGCATGGACTGCTGCAGATTTGAGGCAGTTGACATATATGCCGCCAAGGAGTCCACCACGGCATTAACTAAGGCATCTCTTGCATCTGAAAGACTAGATGAAACTGAGCGATCCACAGCTGTTGGGTTAGAAGGATACAAGAAGTTACTGCAGTTGGCCTCATGCATTCCCTTGAATTTTGAAAATATTAGTTGTGCTTTTGGGTGACGTTTAAAACAAACAAAAACCCCATAACACACCTATGGTCATAACTTTTTTTAGGAGTAAACAAGACAACTGCCCATACATATACTCACTTTCATGATGTTTAAAAAATACAGCGTGGCTGACCTCCACTCCCTAGTTCCCACTCTTGGAGAATTTAAAAAATTGTTTAAAGCTGTGGTAGATAGTCAAGACTAAATATAAATCCTGTTTTACACCTTATACAAATTACTTGGCTATTGATGAAACTCTCTGCTGTCCCACCTCCAAGATACAGTTTGCAGCAATTATTTTTTTTCCCCCACAAGAAATTTCTGCCGTTATTTCAGTGGCATAATTATGATTAGTGTAAACGAAGCTTCATCTTTCTCTGCTGAGAAAGGGCTGCAAATCCTTTGGTCAGAGGAAGCCACCTGCTGGACTGAATGCACATGTAAAACGAGATCTAGAAGTACTATTTATTTCTCCTAATTTATTTGACTATTAATATACAACATACCACATATACTAAAATGCTGCATAGAGCCATACACGTTCAATGGTAGAGATCAGTCTATGAGACAGCTACTCATGAGCCCCATAAGCAAGGATAACTAAGGATTCTCAACCCAGCAATGACAGGATAGAAGGATAGAGAACTAATGCATCTCTTGGATACACTGTTGTCAGAAGTTTCCTTTTAGTCTCCAGCAACTCACTAAACTGAATCACTCTTTCTTAACTAATCCCAGAAAGCTTAAGTTTGAGATGACAACCACGATAATGATATAAAAATGAGAGTTTTGATCCAAGTGTTCAATCCAAAGTGATTCTTTTTCCTTTAATAAACTGTAGAGAAAAAAAAACTAAGAAGGCTCCTTCTAAAAGATTAAAGTCAACTAAGTATTCAGACTAAGGAATATTTCAGTTATTAGTTTTGGTCTAACTTTGATTTTGTCATCTTTCGTATTCTCAGGTTTCAGTGTGCTCCACTCCAATCTTTTTCTACAATACCCAGGCTCCGTTCACTGCTTCATTTAAATGGCTGGCAAAATTAAGAGCACACAAAAAGATACTTGAATCTTCCTGGGCTGTACTCACCCATGTTTGCTAAGAGGCATACAACTGCTTGTACATCCGCTCCTGCATATACATCAGCCAGTGAACTTACTACAGGCAAGCAAAGTGTGTGCACTCGAATTCGACGTTCACCTAATAAAAATAAGTAGAAATCATTATGCAAGATCTCCTGGTAGAGGTATACAAATTCAGTCATTACAGCATATCTTCTCTCATCTGAGTTGCATTCGTTTTGTAAAAACGCACCAGTCAGGAAAGTCTTGTAACACTATATCCCGTTCCTGCCTCTCAACCTGTTCAAATTCTGCAAAGCTCTAAAGCATGCAACTTGTGAATCAGCACAAGCTCATACACAAACTAGCTTATAACATCCACAATAAATGTCTTGAGTCTAAAAATGAAGTACATTGATTTCCATCCCAAAATTTGGTGGCATGTTCCACAATAGAAAGTACCTGCTATTCTTTACGCCCACCCAATGCACTAGCAACTCACTCCAATCCCTCATAGGACCCTCATAGGTCTGTGATTTTGGACAAAGTGTGCGCCAAACGTATTACTGCTTATAACAACAGTATGCCTTGTAAGTAAAGGAATCTTGCAGAATCAACTCTATGTAAGATGGGAGATAAATGACATTTTCCCATCAAAACAGAATTTAATGTAAATATTTAGATTATGTGATTAACTTCCAAGTAGGCTCACTAGCTTTGAGAAGACTCTCTTAGGATATAGAACTAACTATACAAACATTATATTAGAAAAAGAAACAAAAAGCCCAGTGGCCAAGTCATTTGAATTCATTTACCTTTGCTGGAAGTATACAAAAGAGCTGTTTGAAAACAAACCAAAGATGTGTCAGTCAGACTTTCCTCGATGGACATTTGTACTGCAAATCCAGCATCAGGATTGACATTGGCAAGGGACAATAAATCAGTAGACCGTACAAAAAAGTTCCCATGAAAAGTGTGTATTGAAAGACCTAGAAGCAGATTAAGAAATTCAGAGTGAGGTTAAAACAGCATGAAAAACTTCTATCAATAATTAAAACCCACAGCACTCAAGCTATGTTTCAGAAAACTGTAAAAAATACTTATTCTAACTATCACATGGAATCAATTACATGAATCATCAGGCATTTCAGCATGATCCTGTAGAGTTCATGTTCAATTCTGAACACTCTGAGCTGAATGATGCCCTTATGCTACACATGTCCATTTAGGTGAAGTGAGATGGTGTCATCTTAAGTAAAAAAGAAAACATCCAGATACATTAGCTTTTGCCATTTTGGTAAGTTACTTGGAAGAAGGCAACTATCTTACTCTTCAGTGAAAGAGAAATAACCTGAAGTCTAATGTTGCTAAAGACTAAGCACGTACAAAATGATAGTTAACATGTTTACATCACCTTTTCCATATGAATCAGTACTTAAAAACATACCTTTTGTACATCTAATGCGCATGACTGCTTCAAATCCAATCTTTCTTGTAAGGTATCTTTTAAGGTCTTTTTGAAACTTTTCGGCCTGAGCAGGATTATGGCTACAATGGAAAGATGGATAGTAATAGATGCATCCAGCAGAATACTTGGACATGCAAGCTGTGAAGAAGGAAAAGACATGGTTAAGAGGTAAAACTGTAACATGAAGTCAGGACACAAAAATTGTGCCCGACCTTTTGCAAGTCACATTTATGTTCATCTTTTTCCTGATATGACCCACATCTCTAAGACAAGAACTGGCTCAGACTCAGGTCACTGAAAACAGTGATGAGTCACCCAAACACACAATTACCTAGTTATACACTTACTTCACAAAGCATGCTACCTTTAGCAGCTAAGACAGGAATGCATGCAGAATTATTCAATGGTGTAGAGGCAAAATTAAGTGTGTGGGCAGAGACAAATCTTGGTTTAATACTGAAAGATGAGAACTCTGTTCTACCCCTGTGATTAAACTTTATTCATTTCTTGCCATCTGACTGTTCCCTGTTCTTGAGCAGGACAGTACCTTCTCATTTAAAACTCTGAAATTCCAGAATAGTCTGATACCACCTATCCAATACTACTGTTCTTTACTCTACCAACTTCAAAGTCAATTCCTTTGCAGCATCAGCTGCATTTACAGAAGTGCAAAAAAATTTACATGATTTAAGAATTCCTGAAGTAGCCCATGCTTCTGAAGACAGAAAGCAGCGTGGAAAAAATGAATGCATACATTAGGTACTCCTTACCAAGAGAAGCTAGATCAGAATATTGCGAACTTAAGAGAAATAAATCCACAGCAGTCTGCTGGCCTGAGCAGTCCAGTGCCAACTTCTTATAAAAATCTGTTGCTGGACCAAGATGCTGGACCACCTGTGGTGAATAAATTATACAGGAAAGAGTTAAGACAACAATCGTGCTGATCTCTTAAGACTTCATGGAACAAAAGACATAATATTCAGTAGCAAAGTATAATAAGGCAGTTTCCTTTAAGCAATAATTTATAGGCATTTTCACCTGCAGAAATTATATTCTTTATGCTCCATATTCTTTTAGTTTGTATTTACAAGCAGTTATGATCCTACTTTCAAGGAATTTACATTCTCATACAAATAAACGTTCATGTAACTATGTTACACTTACTGGACACTGTAAACTACAATGCCATAAAAATAATAAGAAATCATGTTTTAGGTCTACAATTTAATATATTCATGCTTTGGTTCAAAACCCAGGTTGATGTTAACAGAGTCAGAGATATTTGCAGTTGCTTTTGCTTGCCGAGAAGAGCTATGGACCAAAGGCCCAAAAGACAGCTCAGGCACTTTGAAACAAGTAATACCACATATACATATATAAACTTGTGATCTTAAATGCACAAACACAGACAATGAGTAATTAAAGTTTAGTGAATTGCTATAAATAAAACCCAAGAGTTGATATGCAGAACTATGCAAGTCAGAAGGACATGGCTAGTCCCTAGTCTCATGAGATGAACATGAAAGGAAGTGTTGGTACCTTTGTGCTTGACCTTTGATTGGGATCTTCTCTGGAATGCAAAAGACCTGCTCCCAAAGATGGTAACTGAGTCTGAAATACAGATATCCGACCACCCGTTGGAGACATCAGCTTAAACGCAGCCTGAAGAGCAGGGCCCAACGCACTGTGTGTTTCTCTTGTATTGGTGAACATATTTGGTAACGCATTCAATAGATCTTTTATCAGCTGCAGAACAGATTGAAAAGGTGTTCTTTGAGATTTTGCAAGCTTGACATTTTCTGCTATTTCTAAAAAGCTGTATTGCTGTAACTGAAATGGAACAATCAGTACCAAATGTTTCTGCTTAGTTCCAACACACTAAGGAAAACAATGTAATAATTTTAAAAACTCTGATGCATCAACCAACCAACATGTAATACTTCTATAATCAAAGAGCGGCATTGGATTTACATATTATGAAGATAGAAGTTCCTTTTAAACTTTGAATTCAAGCCTATTTTTAATATTCAACTCTTTAAATGTAATGATATATTTTGAGCAATCATACCTCTTTGCTTTCATGGAGATTTACAAGTAAACTATCTGGAGTAGGTAGGAAAATATCTGTAGGAAGAACAGAAAAAACCCACATTTTATTAAAGAAAAAAATAACATTAAAAATAGAACAAAACATTTCACTGCCCACTGCTATATGTACTATGAAACAGTCTACTTTTCTGATACGCATATTAGAGAGAATACTACAGTCTATACGAAGCTTGTTTTATTCAAAACAAAATTAACATTCAAATTTCACTTTTTAAACACCACCTGCTCTGTAGTTAGTGTAAGTTTATTTTTTAAAAATATATTCCCTAAAAAATAAAATTGACCTAATACCAGAATATTTGAGAGACTCTAATCTTTCTTCTGGGAAAAAAGTAGCTTCTCAAAGATTTAGTTTCCATTTTCTTTTTACTTACCATCAATATCTGAGACAATCAGCATCTGAGGCTGAGATAAACCTTCTTGTAAGTTGTAAAACTGAACAGTGCTGTCAAACGTTATGAACCCTATTCTTGTTCTCGAGTCTCCAGGCAGCCTGAAGCATTAAAAAATAAACTATTAAGCCCTAAATTTCTCTCTCAAGACACATACATACACATAGCTCCTGCTGATGTTAGCAGAAACTCAGCTCACGTATACAGGGGTGAAGGGAGAACAAAAGAAAGGAGATCTGAAACATGAATAACAAGTAAAATTTCTTCAGCGTTTTCTAAAAAGCTGGGATAATGATACAGTTTACAAGACTAAGCGTTATAGGTTAGCACTCACTAAGATATTGATGTTTTGTTCTGAGAGAGAACTTAGTTCATTTAAACATTACACTGATACGTGAAAAAGTAGCCTTCTCAGTTCTTCAGCAGAAGATTTTCTCATGTGGACCATATTCCTATGTATTTCATTAAAAATACAAAAAGAAAAACTAAATGGGATTTCTCAAATATAAAAAAAAAAATAATCAGCAAGTGCTGAAAACCATGATGGTCAACAAAAGCAAGAGAGGCAAATATTGTTTTTACCATCTGAGTATACAAATAAAAAACTAGATATACTGATTTTCCTATAGACTTTGCATGGTATTTTATGAATTTCCCTAAAATAATTTAGCATGTTTCTGGGAAGTTGTTGATAAAAATATCTGTAAAGATCTGGATAAAGAAAGACTAAACCAATAAATGTATGTAGAGGAATTCTATTGTACTTGCTGGTGTCTTTATCAGAAATTAAAATCAAGTTTCCTAAGAAAAACTTGGAGAAAACAATTTTCAGAGTGAGGCCTCCACAGGATACAAATCATTCCAAAGACATGAACATAGTGAAGTTTATCAACCCTCCCTCAGAAACCAACACCACTAATCCCATACATCCTGTTCCAGTGCAAAAAATGAAAACAGACAGAAAGTGGTACAGGTAGATCTAGGTAACTGTGATGTAAAAAAACCAAACTGACAACAGAATTCACCTAGGCAGTCTCACGTGAGTAGTTACAACATTCCAGTATGCAGCACCTCGGCCATTTCAGCACAAGAACCAGCCAATTTAATGTCTGTAATTTAGTTATGCTTGTTTGTCTTGGCAGGGGGAAGAGCACACTTTATAGATGTTTGTTCAATCAACCTGTTGTTAGAAGTTAAATACTCTTTGCACATAAATAAGTAAATTATTTGCAGATCCACCTTTAATCACATGCAGGGAACATAGCTCATGTAAATTGCTTCAACAGCTGTTTTTTTGGGGTGGGGTGGTTTGTTTTTTTTTTTGCTTGGTTGATGGTTTGGTTTTTCTGGTTGTTTTTCAGACACGTAAGCTGTGTTTCAGAATCTCAAGCAACAGAACTTCTGTCCTTTTGGGACAGAACGTTTAAACACTATATGCAAGTTTTCTGCAAAACTGTAGGTTAGCATTGTTCATAACACATTAGCTAATTTAAAAGGTTATTTATATTCTTACTTGTCTAGGTTTTCCAGCAACGACTGGCAGACTATTGTCAAATATCCAGCCTCCACGGCATTATGAGACACATCTAAAACAAATAAATATACCGCAGGCTGAGGAGGACGAAGCTACAAAGTAAAAAATAAAAATAAAAAAATGTTCAAAAATCATATTTAAAGAAATATTAAAAATAATTAGCCATTAGAAAGGGAAGTGGGACAAGGGAATACTTAGAAAAACTCAATGTACACATTATGCGATAAAACTGATTTATTAAAATTCATGCAGATAGACTTAACCACAATTCCCAGTGGTTAATAATTCCCATTTGTAATAATTTGTAATGTGATGTTTCAGAACAGAAATTCAGTATTTTAGTCTCTCCTTCCAACAATCAACTCAAACATTACTCTCAGATGTCAGATATAGAATTCCCTCTTCAAAACACCACTGTTCCTTCAGGATGTGGACAATGCAATCCATTAAATGGGTTTAAAATATACTACCTACATCCTTTTCCCAACCATACAGCAAGTTGTATTTATTCCTTGCCAAATGTCTTGGCCACAGTATTTCAATTCAAAGACAAGAAAACAATTTATTTTTGCTGTTGTTAAAAAGGTCATAATTAACAGGGTCTTTTCCCAGGTCTTGTTTATCTTTCTTGGAGACAAGACTACTATCACAGCAACTGTAGGTTGACCCCTAGTTAGAATTGTTTCTGTCACAATTACTAATTAAAAATTTGAACGCAACTGAATTCTCTTGTTATTCCATTACTCATCTTTCAAAACCTCTTCAAAATGAGGAAGAAACTCAGAAACCATATTGCATCAGACTACGCCACATTAACTACACTGGATGATTACACGCATTGCAATTGCCTTTGTTTGACAAGCCTCTGAATATCTAGATTTGCCAAAATTCAAAGTAAATACGAATTTTAACTCTTCTTTGGTGTTAAGAGGACCTTCACAAGAAAATTAACAGACACCATTGAAGCAATATGCAACAATTATTTCAAACACATTTACATAAACATGCAATTGTTGTTGAAGTTCCCATGGAAACTTTTTTTACCATATAGTCTGAAGAAGCAATGAATTCCACTGTAGAATTTTGGACCTCTGGCCGTTTGTGAGGCTCTCCGTAAGATCGCGTCAGAGGATTATACATAAATTCTTCAGGAACTATACATAAAAAAAAAATTCCCCACAAAAAAATGTTTATATATTTGTCAGCAAATAAAAACCATTATGGCAGCTACAAGAAAACTAATGCAGATATATTTTAATTACTACTAACAACAGAAAAAAATTCACATTAAGGATACATAAACCAGAGGCACATTTCAAGTATCCCAAGCAGTATCAAAGTTAAATAACTGGAAACAAAACCTGGTTTATTTTAAACAATATTTCCCCAATTTTAAAACACCAGTGCAAACAGAGCATTTGACAACAAACAAGCTTCAATCTATATTGTTTCTCATAACCTCTGGCCTGGACTGCTGACAGTATTAGTTGTGATCATGTTTCCATTTGTGTATTGCAATAGCAGTCAACGGAGTAAGTTCATTTCATTATACAAGTAGTCAGGATAACATGATTACATTTTCTTAGTGTCCCAGAAAATTGTGAAACAACCTTTGGCTTCCGACAATGCACAGCACATCTGTGATTTAAATTAAAAAAAAAAAAAAACCCAAAAAATCTTAAGAACATTGTCATTTTAATCTGCATTTTAATTGAAAGTATCCTCTAGACTGGTATGATGCAAATACGTGAAAGAGATTCTATAAATGCCAGCATCTCCTGCTACAAAAACTTACCATCATTAACTCTGTAGCACAGATTGCATTTCCACCTCCTTTGATCAATGAAAGAAACAAAAGGGTTGATATATGTCCTGCAGGATCTGCACCTCACTATTGTGCTTGATGTTATTACTGGTAATTGCTAAAAAGAAACAATGGAAAGCTGTAACAAAGGTACATAATATGTTTTATGGAAAATATTACTCTGCAGTACTGTATGTATAAGCTTCATAAGACTAGTGATTCTATCATCTTTCCTTTTATCTTTTTAGCTCATTTTCAGAGTAATAATGATGCCTATTAAAAATATCTTCCCCTTCAAAATCAGAAGAAATAATACTTAATTATTGTCTTAATCCAATCTCACAAATCAAAGATGTAATAAATTTTTTTAATGAAATTACTTTAAATTACACAGTTACAATAACAGAGCTACTATGGCAAGAGGAATTATGACAGACAGGACAAATCTGGGTGACTAACTGTGATAGACAGCAAATCTTACACAAAGAACACATATTATATGAAAAAAGTCATACCAGACAGTTATTCACCTTTTTACATAAATACAAATAAAGTAGATGGAGAGGAATTGCTTAACAGTTACAAACACAGTTTCAGTCTTACATTGTGCTTACCCTCTACTGACAGCATTTATCATGCCAGTAATACATTCAATGTGAGCACCTCTTTTCCCTTACGAATTTCAAAAAGTAGCAATTTCAAGGCTTTTTTCCCCCTCTGAGGGGAAAATTTTTTTTTGCTACTTCTGTTAAATTTAAGACATAGTTCAGTATATTTTATTGTTTGAACAAAAATAAGGCAAATGCATATATTAAATATATATACTAAAAAAAAGTAAGCTAGTTTACCGTTAAGTCCCTGAAGGGATGTAGCAACAAACCCAAAGGAAGCTTAGCTTTGTTTAACAAAGCCTGTGTCTGTGGAATATTTGTCAGCGTACATCGAAATGAGCTGAAAGGAAATAAAAACATTAATGGAAAATGAAATTTTAAAAGATGTTAAAAACATTGTGTTACGCTTGATTTTGAAGAATTTTGAAACTTAAGAAATTCTATGTTTTCCAAAGCTGATTTAATAAACAAAATTAAAGCAAAGAGATTAAAAAAAGCCTCCTAAAGAAACTAACATAATACTCCCTCGCTCCTCAATTTAGCAGTTCAGCAATGCGAGTATACCAAAACAAACATGCAATAAAGAGATAGGTACAACACTCAGTGATGTATTTTTTATTCATTATACAGGTTTTTTGGGTGAAGGAACACAGTATTTAAATAGCTCTCAGACAGCAATACTTATATAAGAAAACAGAGGAAATATCTCAAATACTGAGAGAGTCAAAATCTTTTGTTTTGTGTATGTAAAGTGGAGGATGGACTTAAAGCTAAATAAAGGCCACTAAAAAAACCCCAATGCACGAACAGTGTTGTCCAAAGTATTCCACACTTAAGAATGATTTTGAGACACCCTCAGTATTCTGATTTCGGGTTTCTGATGGTACCATGCATTGCCACTAGGGCAGTAAGCAGAATTAATTTGCGGCAATGAATAAAATTTCTTTTGGAATTAGAATTAAGATCTTTGGTGGAGAGCAATTTCCATTGTACATAGCTGCACTTGTCTTGGGTAGTAGATAATACTAATTAATGTTGATTAGAGGTAAAAGAATACATCATGGCTGCAGGATTACACAGTAAAATATACTCACAGTTTATTCATTGTATTTAGGCATGTTCATCATAATTTTCTGGAAAAAATCCTATGTAATATTACAAAATATTCTATGAAATATACTGCATAACATTAAGGTGTTTATTAATAGATATTTTTTTTACATGGATAAAAATGCAAAGATTAAAACATCAAGAAACCTGCTTAAGTGAGCTACACTCACACTGCATATAATGTATTCTGATGGCAGGACAGTTTCAATATGTGTGTGAGGATGCAGAGGATAAACTTATTTTCAAGCGAATATTAGTTCATCACAAAGATTTAAAGTCAGGAGTCAGTTTAGACATTTTTTGACACTTGAAATAATTACTAGTCACTGAAAAATGTAAGACACAGTACACTTACTCTGGACTGCAGTTTAACTTCCTAAGATCAGAATTCAAGTTAGGCACAGGTGCTGGAACTGAAGATACAGGCAAAATATTTCTGTCTTGTGTAAGGTTTACTGGTCTCAAGCTTTCTGGCTGCTGAGAATGCTGTAGACTTAACCCTCCTAAGGAAGAGGACAGCTGGTTCACACCTGGATATTGCTGAAAAAATTAAGAGCATTGCAAATAGGTAAACAGTCATGTTTAAATAACGATCTTAAATCTTTTTGCAATCCCAATTCTTCCAGACATGTATTAAAAAAAGATACAAGTAGTTAGTAACAGACCCAAACAAACAATGAAAGAGTTCTACGGTAGAAAATTAGAAAGGCTAAGACAAACATGACATACCTTCCAAATATATGTCATGGGACAAAATTCAAGTTCATGACACAGATCAACATTGGAAGTGACACAGAATCCTTCAAACTTTCCAGGCATAAGAAAACAAGTCACTAGAAAGGCCAATTTCCTCTCCCCACACTGAAACTGGTTCTTATATATTTATTTTTAAATGAAAACAAAACACCAGAGAAGAGGAGAAAACGTTAGGTTGGAAGGCATCTCTGAGGTCTGGTAGTCCAACCTCCTGCTCAAGCAAGGCTAACTTCAAAGTTAGACCAGGTTCTAGCCTGGTCTGGCTCATAGCCTTGTCTGGCTGAGTTTTGAAAATATCTAAGAATGAACACCACAAACTTGGTGGCCTTCTATGATGGGGTT